TGGGTAAACCTGTTCTGGTGACAACCTAGGGTACATCTCCTTGCTTTGGAGAGTTTTGGTTGGTGTAACCCACAGCAACCGGAAAGAAATACGAGTTTAATTTTCTGTCTATAGGTAATTCAGCTCTGATTGCTCACAACTGTGCTTTCTATATCATCATTGTTCTGAGCACCCTACACTCACTCTGTGAGTGTAGATGGGCCATCTACAGCATGCATGACATGATAACCATTTAAAAGCACAGCAGATATAAGCATAGAAAAAGGTGGACATTTCTTACAAATACTTTTCTAAAGTTATGAATGACTACATTTCTTGGGCCAAATGGCCATTTGCTGTTCTTAACACTATACTCTACAGTTGTGCACTGATAACTCCTTCCCTTTATAGCCAGGAACACAACTTGAAAAAAATATCTACAGTAACAATAAATGCAAAAAAAGCTGTTTTAAAATTACTGTTACAGAGCATTCAGCTTCCTCAACGACACGTACCATTTAGAATCATTTAAATGTAAAGCTACAGCGAGCACCAACCATACTAAAAAAAATGCCATTAGTTTTCACTCATCGGGAAAACAGAAAATCATCCACACTTGTTCCCTAATGTAAATGTTAAAGCGCACTAAACCTGGAAGGCTCTGTAATTTGGCAAATAACACATTTTAAGGAAGGACGACATTCAATTTTACAGCTCGTTGGCCAGACTGTTGGCATTCCAATGTACTTAAAAATCAGATATCATAATCTGAAACTTTGTAGTCATCAACTTTTGGATAGAAAAATTGGAAGCTTATTAGAGAAAGAGGTCATTCTCATGGCTCGAAACCCATTTTATTTTCTCAAATTGGATTTCATTAAACAAGTTTTTATAAGGAACTCTATTAAATTGATTGATTATCCTTAGAGAGAGAAGAAAAAAGACAAGTTACTACTTTTGTAAGGGTTACATTTGAGGCCAGTCTATTATCTTAAATGATCAATCTGTAACATTACAAAAAAAATAGATGAAAAAGTAGATTTTTCTTCAAATGAATATTTAATTGACGAGTGGGTTTCATAGCAAGTGAATAATCTGAGCCATCTTTGTTTCAATAGTTCATTTTCGACAGAAAGGGGAATTGAAGCTACCCAGGCAAGTCAATCTGTAAAACAAATGAATTTGTCTAGACCTTAATGGGGTACATTTTGCTTAAAGGATTAAGACATGAGCGTTAGCCACTGTGACAGATTGCATATTGTCACGTGCCTCCTGCAACTGTATAAAATTCTATCGAATTCTTAGAGCAGCCCGCGCTGATGAATTATTTATTAGCTGATACAATATTCAGTTTGATGACTGATCCATTGGTTTCATTTTAAAAGTAAAAATGATTTATGGGTAGGGCCTATAGTGGAAGGACTCATATCATACCGCTAGCAAAAAATAATGCAGAGGGAGGAAAGTCATGTTATATTATCTCTTGTAATACTGGTAGCTAAGTAGCATCAAACAAGCTGGAAACATAATAATAAACCCAAACAGTTACAAAAACAAACCTCAAGCCCACACTGCATAAAAAAAGACCGTTTGTATGTTAATGAAAGTCATTTTTCCTCTTCCAATCCACCAAGTCGCCTTTGTGTTTATACTGTGTAGCATCATTAAAATAACATCTGTCTAAATATGCTGTGATCGAACTAGCATCTGCCAAAGCATCATATAAAAGGAATATATAGTTAAGAAATAAAACAAAAACAAGGACTCTGTTTTTAAGGACAGCTGCTGGGAAGTGCTGCATCATTCTCCTTGAAGTCTTTTTTTTTTAAATATATTTTTCATAGAATCTAAAGAGCATGAACAAGTGCAGCACTTCCTGATCAGTACTCAAGGGATCACTGAGGTCAAAAGTCTGCCTGATGGTTTTATTAAGGAGTTTAAGTCCTGAAGACACCAGCTGGGACTGTCTGGTTGTCTGTACACAGGTTAAATAACCACCTACAGAGGAGTATATCTGAGCTAAACAAATCCGGGAACCCTAATTAGACTTTTTAAATGACTGGACAATAACCACAAGCGAGTCTGCAGTCTCTGCAGTAGATTGGTGCTTCCTCTAAGAACTGCCCTCATCATCCAAACTCAGAGAGCATGGGGATCTGGAGAGGGAGGCAGAGGGTGAATACAGGGGGAATACTCTAAAATCTAAGGGTGGCTGCAGGAATAAGATTCATTTCATCTCTGGACCTAAGTGCAGGGACAATCAATACCTGCAAATGCACCGGAAAATATGTCCCTTAAGAGCAAAATCATTTGCTGAGTCCAAGCGCTTATTAAAGCTGTTCCGTATACCTTTTGACTTTTTGTTCTAATCTATAATCTAATGACAGCGATGTTGGCTTTACTGATTGCACACTTGTTTCCTCTCGCTAGATAAATCTATACGTTGCACGCTAGCCAAATAAACAAAATGCATCTCACGCTAGCTATATGATTCCTCTCGGATAATGGTGTATTTTTTTTTTTTCTGCAGATTGATACAGATGTTCTAAATCAGAACTGTTCACGGGAGCAGAGGTTGACACTGAGGAAATATGGTACAGCCTTTGTACTGAGGGAGATAGGGATTTATTTTATGGATGCGGTCACTCCCATTGTGATATTTATATTAATTTGTGAGATCAGATCAGTGCCTGTTCACACAATTTAAAGCCCCAAAGGCTTCATTATCTTTCAGGCAAAGAAAACGAACTACACACTCTGGTAAGCACTAATCTCATCCATTCCTTTCATCCATAGACCTACTCCTACAAGCCATGATGAATAGTCTGTATTTAACAAGACCTTTCCCCCTAACAAGAGAAGTTAGGGAGCTGTTCGATTCTTAGAACAGATGCCAGCCACAAGAGCAGATAGATCTTCAGCAGAGGTGCAGAGCTCAGGAGCAGGCAAGAGATGCAGAGATATATAGCAGGCAAGGGAACAGAGCCCCATATCAACCCCGGGTAGGGATGCATCTCATATTAAGGCAAGTAGGCAGTTGATTAAGGGACTGCTATTATGGTGGGGCATACAATTTTTTTAGGTGAAGTTTGTTTTTGTTTTTTTTAAATTTTTGGCTCTTTATCCTTATTAACCATTACTGCAAAAACTGTAATAGGAAATTAGCTGCATAGTGAGGAATATGTGGACTGCTAATTAAAATGCATTTAATCACAATGCCTAGGATAGCACAAATCAAAATATAGCACACAGTTCAAAAGAAATATGGAGCAGGAACAAAGTAGGGAGAAGATCCCAGAGTTAGGCTATAGTAAAATGAGCCCCCTGGCTAACGTGCAGAGGTAAGGTACAGGCTAAAGTATAAAAGCCCAGGTATAGGCTGCATTTAATAGAAATGCAGCCTATACCTTGCCAGTACCTAGGAAAGCTGTGTAACCTAGGTACTGGCTGGGGTGAAGAACTCAGGTACGGGCTGTGTTGTAGAGCCCAAGTACAAGCTGGGGTTTAAAACATAGGTAAAGGCTAGGGTGCATTCTCCAGGTGCAGGCTTGGTTTTATAAACCAGGTACAGCCTGAGGAGTATAACTCAGTATTTTATAAACCAGGTACAGCCTGAGGAGTATAACTCAGGTACAGGATGAGGTGCATAACCGCAGTACAGGCAAGGGTGCATAGCCCAAGTATAAGTTAATAGCCCAGGCACAGGCTAGGTATGGTACATAGCTTAGGCACAGGCTAGGGTGCATAGCCCAGGTACAGACTAATGTGCATAGTCCAGGTACATGCTTGGGTGAATAGCCAAGGTACAAACTAGAGTGGCATATTCCAGGTATATAAAGTATAGACTAGGTAAAATCTGGGGCGCATTGCCAAGGTACAGGCTGCAGTGTTTAGAAGGGGTCCGTGGTGGGGTGTATAAACTGGGTACATGCTGGGGTGTTTAGACCAAAGTACTGGAGGGGGGTAAATACCAGGTGCAGGCTTGGGTGCACAGAGTAGGTACAATCTAAGGTATGTGGACCAGGTACAAACTGTTATGTATAACCCAGGTATAGGCTACAGTGCATATCCCAGGTACAGACTGGGGGCTGGAGGAGAATAGACTAGGCACAGGCGTTGGTCTACGGACCAGGTACGGGCTGGAGGAAAAAGACTAGATACAGTCTGGGGCATACAGACCAGGCATAGGCTGGAGGGGAATAGACTATGTACAATCTGGGGTATACGGACCAGGTAAAGGCTGGAGGGGAATTGGCTAGGTACAATCTGGAGTATACAGACCAGGTATAGGCTAAAGGGGAATAGACTAGGCACAATCTAGGGTATACGGACCAGGTGTAGGCTGGAGGGGAGAAGACTAGGTACAATCTGGGGTATATGGATGTATAACACACAGGCTACAGTGTAAATGCCAGTTTCAGGCTGGAGGGATAGACTAGGTATACACTAGAGTTCATGAACAGAGTAACTTCTAAGCACAGGGTCATTTTAAAGTGTGGAGCCCGGCTTGAACTAAGCTGTACAATTGCTCTTTTACTAATACACTTACTATTCAGAGGGGAAAATAAAGATATTGCCACAGTTTAATCCTTAGCTACCTAACTGCACCAAATTTCAATGACTGCAAAAATCCATAATAACTTTTATCGATCACAAATTATCTAATGCAACTGTTAAAGCCAAAAGTGCATTTCTAAAGCCCCACTTCCAGCATAAAGTTCAGTTAATAGTTGCAAGTATTGTAACAATGCGATGCAGAACTCTTCCATAGATCAGGCAGCCTAATTTCCGAGGCTTGCTGCATGTTACATCACTGCAATATAAACTAGGAGAGAGAGATGAGGACTGCCCTGCGGATAACCGCTGATAGGGATTACAATTAAGCCCTTTCCCTGTCATCTCATTAAGACCACTTGCAAAGAAGATGGAGCACATCCAGCTGTCACTCCACAGCGTCTCCAGGTAACTTGCCGGACATGACAGTGAAAAGTGTCTGACACATCAAATTCAGCACCACTTACCTTGAACTAGAAGGGGGACCCAAAAGCTAATGCTGATCAGGAGGCGTGATACCCCCTTAAGGATCATGTTTTTGGGTCAGTAAAAAAAAAAAAAAAAGAGAGAGCTGATTCCGATGATGTCCCCCAAGAAAAGACACTCCAGTCCCGGGAAGAGGTCCTTAATTTGCCCTTAGTATTCCTTGTATCCCTCCCAAGCCAGGAAAAGTCAGTCGCCAGAGATGAGAGTATTGAGTCGCCAGTATCCGGGGTGAAGCTAGCGCAGGCACGGATCCCTGGAAGGAGTGATGACAGCTGTCAGCCGGCCGGAGAGCTGTGTATACAAACACGGGGAGCGTGTCCCAGCCACACAGCCTTCCCTGATCAGACAAGGAGCTCCTTCTGCTGGAAGAAAGAATGAAAAGACCAGGAGAGATTGCACGAAAAGAGAGAGAATAGGAAGAAGGGAACGGATCGCACCGCCCAGACACCTGCTCCTCCTGCTGACTTAGTTCATCCTTCTCACTTGGGCTTTGCTACACAGCTCTTGTCTTAAAGGATCTCTAACCTCAATTCTTTCTGTAGCATCATAGGACTTCTCTGCTGTGACTGTATGCACTGGGCTTTTATTCCCCTCTGCTTGCTGGCTATGGAGGGGAAGAAATGGGCACAGTTAGGAGGGGAGTGATCAGGGCTGCGGAGGAGTGGAGGGTGTGATGGATGATCAGCTTGTGGCTGGGAGGATGCTCCGCAGATCATCAATGATTTCCATACAGGACGGAGCTGACATGTAGGGGGAAGGATGGCTGGGATTTCTGCCTCTATGGGGGTGATTTACTAAAGGGAAGCAGCCTATTTTCTTTGCAAGGGTTTCTCCTTTATGTGCAAGGGACATTTAAAGAAGAACTCTGGGAATCTGAAAGCAGATCTCCAGGATTTTCACTAAACTCAGGAGGTAAATCTTAAAAATGCATTCAAGTACCTTAACTATTAAAGTAGAACTCCAAAAATTGTTTTTTTCTTAACCCTTGCAGTGGGGCTACACCTGCACTGCAAGGGCTAAGTGCTTGTTTGTGTCTAAGTGAACAAGTAATACAATTATACTCACCCAAGCCGCCCAGGTGTCACAGTGCTTCCTCCAACATGTCTGCCCCTCATTGCAGCATTGGAATCTTCAGGGTCCTCATGTCTATGCACTGTGTGTAGCCATTGATGATTTACAGGACCTTTGACCCTGGGCCGGCCTTAGGTCTTAAGGCGCTCTGTGCGAGTAAGCTCTACAGCGCCCCTCAGTGACCACACCCCACAGTAACCTCAGTAACCACACCCCTCAGTGGCCACACCCATTTCTCCAATATCCGCACCATTCAAAGACTCCAATTTTGTTAAGCCCCAAAGAAACATTAAAAAGTATGATAAAAATAAAACTTTTACTTAAAGGTATTAAACGTGCAGGCACAATATAAGTATTCTTATTAAATAAAACATCACCAGGCAAACAAGTGGTAAACAATACATGTCAAACTAAAATAGAGTCTTTAAAAACAAAGGGGTCTATTCACTAAGCTGCCGTAGGCAGCCGAGTTAAAGATCGACCTGAAGTGAAGTGAGCTAAGCCAAACCTCCGGCAGGCTACTCGCTGCTGTTCGGTCTATTTTTATAGATGCCAAACAGCAGTGAGTGAATAGCTGAATGCCAAATGTTTCTCTCCTGGGCGGCCGGGAGCGGGAGACCCCCGGAGCGCGCGGGAGGATTAGAAGACTGGAGACCAGTGTCCCTGGTTAGCTGGTAACCAGGGACGCTGATCTCTCTGCAAGTGACCAGAGCCAGCCGTAAGATCATGGCTGGCTCCGCCCAGCTGCCAGAAGCAGGCTGTCGGCCAGCCAATGGCCGGCCGCTCGGCCAGCTTCGGCTTTCAGCACGGCTCAGCCAAGCCGAGGTATATGCCTTCGGCTCGACTGAGCCGCTCGGCTAAGTTCGGGAGCTGTACAGGCTATTGTGAATATCC